TCCTATGGGTCCCCCTGTCCCTTGGCAGGCTGATCGAGCCGGCGGTAAGTTTGCTCCAGCCCCCAGAAGTGGCATCTGAGGGGGAGCGTGCTGTTGCGTGAGTGTGGGCAACACGGTCTCCCCCAGACTGCAAGCCACAGAGCGGCGGAGGAGCAGGCTGTGTCCGCTGCAAGGGCGGGGAAAACACCTTCCTTTAAACCAGGGGTTCTCAACAGCAGTGATTTCGGCTCCCAGGTGACACGTGACAATGTCTGAAGACACTGTGGTTGTCACAAATTAGGGATGCTACTGGTATCTGTGGGTAGAGGCCTGGGATGCTGCTGAAAGTCCTCCCATGCCCAGGACAGCTGCCTGCCGCCAAGAGTTATCTATCTCCAAATGTCAATAGCGTGCAGGCTGGAACCCCGCACACATTTGTATCTGGAGTTCTGCACTCCAGCTGTTGGGCAAATGGGAAAGGTCCAAGAAGTGGACTGGATGGAGAGTCCATATCTGGGGAGTCAGCATGGGTTCTACAATGCCGGTGGGGACGTGAACAGGCTGAAGCTCATCCAAAGTGCTCCTTCTGTGCCAGGCTGCGAGCCTGACACTGATGACCTCATTTAATTTCTACAACTCTGGAAAAGGGTACTGTTATGACCCCACTTTGTAATAAATCAACCGAAGATATACACAGTTGGGAAAGGGAAGAGGAAGAGGTGGTTTTCTTCCTGGCATACTTTTTTCCTAGGGTGGTGGTGATTTTTGTGGGGAGACGGTGCCTGGTTCCCACCACTCGACTGTGAGGTCCAAGATGGGAACATCTTGGGTAAACTGAATCTGTAGCATCCAACAAAGTCCCTGGAACTCGGTAGCTGCTAACAGATAGGTGCTGGATGAAACGGAGTGAAAGAATGAAGGAGCAGGGCAATGTTGCCCAGTGGTTAGAATGCAGGCACTGCAGGTAGACTTCCAGCCCTTCAACAGAGAACCAGCGCGCACCTCCTCTGCGCCAGGCCCCAGTGGAACAGTAGTGGCACGCTGGAGCGAACCTACTGGCTCCCGAGAGCCGACCGTTCATTTATCATGAAGCTTGCAAGCTGATTGTCAAACAGCCATTAAATAAAATTAAATTTTATAAAGTTACCATTAAATAAATTATATATTTTAGAAGGTAATAAAACACATCACTTCCTAATTATTTTACTACATTTCACGGCTATCTTTGTTCTGGAGGTTGTTTATGTCTACTGCAGGGGTCGCCAAACCTTTTCTGCACAAGGGCCAGGGAGTGACGGTTTAGGGCGCTGCAGGCCAAGAGCGGAATCCGGCCCCTCGGCCTCTGCTCCCTGTCTCCTGGTCTGCTGCGTCTGTGGGGTGGAGATGCTCCACAGTGGGGGCATCTCTTTCCAACTCCACGGTCAGTTATGCACGTTGGTAGCTTGAAATTGGCCACGGTGGGCATACTTACACCATGGAAATCGTCAAACGCTGTGAATCAGGGCTTTCCTTTTTTGCAGTAAGCTGATTGTTACACATTTACCCGCACACCACTGGATGCAGTGACAGGCAAAACTGGAGTGAACCTTGCCCTCGTGGAGGGCACAGAGTTGGTTTGTCCACCATTTTGTGGTGGGGTGGGGCAAGGAGGGAGTGGTGCAAAGGCTGTTGAGGATCTCCACTGGAGACCACTCCAGGGAGGAGGACACCCATCTCCAGGAGTGTCTGCCGGAAGGGGCAGGGCGGCTGGAAGAGGGTGTTCAGGGGGACCTCTCCTAGGGCTGGCCACCCACAATGATGCTCCCCACCCCCACCAGGGACTTTGCCACTTCATCAAATTCCTTTATGGGCAGCCAGGGCAGCAGGTCTGTCTTTCCCCTCTGACTTAGCTCAAGGGGAGACTTCAGGGACTTGGGAGTGGAGATGTGAGCTCATGAGGGCAGTTTGCTATTTGCTCACTGCAACCACAGGTCCCAGCACTGCACTTGACCCAGTGTAGGGTCTCCACCACTGCGGCCCAGGGGTGAACCCAGAGTGGGTTGCTGAACTCAAGTGATGCAGTGAGCAGGTAAGAACACATCATGGTCCTTTGGAAACTGGCTCAAACAAGGAGGGACCACCAGCAAAGAATGAAGAAAATGACAGGTTTGTCTGGTGACCTGGCTGAATGAACTAGCCTGTGGGAGCTCAAGGACAGCGAAGGGTTTGTGAGTTTCTGTGTTCTCTCTGCTGTTCTGTAGACCTGCCAAGTTCAATGCCAGGAGGGTGAACTCTGAGGGGCTGGGACCATTTTTTGGAGAGTCTGGGTTTCCACAGCACTGAAGATGACTTGGGTACATCATCTATCCATGGAAGCTCTAGGGGCTGTCTCCTACAGAGGGTGTCACCCAGGGCACCTTCCCTGGGTTTCTGCAGGGAGGGGCTTTCTGATGGGATCTGACAGCTGGACTCAGATTCATTTCTAGGTCAAGAACCTGGGATGGTGGGAGGCGCAGGGCTGTGCAGTGAGTTACATGAGTCCCAGTCTAGAAGGCTGAACACCAGTGCCATCCCATCTCATCACGTCACAGCTTACTGACCTGGTCCTGTGGCCAGCATGTTCTGAAGCACCAGGGTGTGATAGGTAGGTGTGACGATCAGTCATTGCCTACTCATTGAGCCCTGACCTGCCATGTGTGGGCCCGGAGCCAGCTCTGCTGTCAACCAGCAGAACTCCAGACTTCTGCCTCAGGGGACTTTTCTTCTTACAGCATCTTGTGGGCTCCATGTCACTGACTTCAAATTAAAAAAAAATTATTATTTAAAGAAAACCAGTTGAATTCAATACTTTTGTCTCTTAGGCCCCTGCCCTGCATTCCTGGGGCACTTTGTGTGCCTTGGTAAATGAGCTAGTTTCCTGTACAGGCCAAGTGACCCCCCACGTTTTTGTATCTGCCACAACCCCTCCTCACTTCCAGGAGCACCGTTCCCCTTCTTTACCTGATTCCTAAAGACCTCCTGAAGTCAGGACACATACTCAGCACCGCTGGATTACCTATCTGTTCTCCCTCTGTTCCTGGAGCTGAAGCACAGCACTGTCGGTCATTGTCTCTATTATGCTTTATCTGAACTCCATACCTGGGTCCAATCCTGACCAGCTAAGTGAGCCTGGGCAAGCAGCTCAGCCTCTCTGTACCCTCATCTGCAAGAGAGGGTGATGATGGCAGCTATGTCATAAGGTTGCTGTGACAGAGGAAAGGTGTATGCATATACAACTGGTAGCCCATAGGAAGTGCTTTGGACACTGTGGCTATTATAGGAATTACTCCTGTGACAGCATATAACAGGAACTCAGTAAAGGTTTGAACAACTGACTTAACCCCACCCCTGAACAACCTGGGTGGTTCTTGGTCACAACGATCCCTTGCACCCACATTTACAGCATGAGGTGGGGGGCTTGGGTTTGCCCCTTTCTTGCTTGGTGGTTTTCTCAAGGCTCTTGAGGCTTAGAACTTGAGTGAAATGCCAGCAAATTGTGGGGAGATGCTGAATAGTTCATTTTCTTATTTAACTGTGCCTCCCTCAGGATGCCCAAGGAGAGAACAGCTCTGCCCATCTCCTGGGCAGCCTGGACATTTGAGTCTTATTTTGTGAGGGACTGGGCCCTGCCTTCCACCCCCTGCCCCCAGCCCTGGTCAGGCTCAGGGGAGAGGGTCTCTTGGGAGCCCATCCATCTTGTTGGTTCTGGGAGAGAGTGGGGAGGAGATAATCCCACTGCAGGGACTCTGTGCACAAACTGCAGCATTCATGATGCGATTCAACACATGCTCACACACCCCTGCATTCACTACGGGGCACCCTCACTTAACAAAAAGATACAAATCTGGGGGTTTTGATGGTATTAACTGCAGAAGCTTGTGGACATGAGAAAGCCTGATGGAGGAGCAGAGCATTTGCTAGATGGCGTTAGGTGTCTCCTAATGGCAGAAAGGAAACCTTTTGGTTTCAGTTCTGGTTCCTGAGTGACACTGTGATTCCTTCCACTAAGGTGCTTCCAGTATAATTCTCTCCTCTGCCCAGTGCTGGGCCTAGGGATGCAGAGACAAATGTCCAGATCCTGGTCTGAGGGGAGAGGTGAAGAAGATGGAGCTACTGGAGTGCAGGAAGAGGAAGGGAGGGGGCAGTCCAGTAACTTTGGGGGAGACTTTGTTGTCTAGGTTCCTAGAAGAGGCCAGAGTCCAGAGGCAGGACAAAGGAGGGGGTGCTGAGGAGCCTGTCCCCTCTTCCCAGGCAGCCCGAGGACACCAAAGGCTAAGGCATCTGCAAAAGGCCAGAGGGTCTGCAGAGTCTGGTATGCTGAGACAGGGCAATGTGGGCTCATTAGCTGTATAATTGAGGAAACATTTTCAATTCCAGGATACATCCCGGTCTGACGTCCCCATCTGGCCAGGCAGAGGGGCAGTCTGAGCTGTGGAGGGAATATCAGAGATCGAGCGGTCCAGCCCCCACCCCGCTGTAGCCCAGCTCAGCCCAGGCCCAGTCCCTCTGGTTTGCTCCTGGCCGCACCTCGGCCGTCCGTCCGTCCCCGTTGACATGTTTGGGGGTGCTTACGTTTCCGATCAGGGTCGCCAGGGTGGGGAGCTTGTGGTCCGGGGGTGCCTTGGCTGGTTCCTGAATCTGGTCCCGCCTGCGGGCCTTGCAGCTCAGCACCCGCCTGGGCACCGGCGGGGGCGCGGCTGGGCGTGACGTCACGCCCCGCCCCCACGGCCCCCGCCCACCTTCACATTCCGGGCGGGGCCGGGCGGGGGCCTGCTGGGACTCGCCCGCCGCAGCCCCCTCCCCAGGGGCCGCCCCCTCCTGTCGGGCCGCGCCTCTGCCCCTCGCGTCCCCGCCCGGCGGCCGACTCCGCCTGCGAGAGGCCGAAGCCGCGGCGGCGGCCGCCGTTGCCGCCATTGACGTCAGAGGGGCGGGCACATGACCCCGCGGGGACCAATCGCGCGGGCGCGGAGCGGCTTCTGCAATCTCTCAACTGAGCCGGCCCCCGCGGCCCCCGCCGCACACTTGCCCGCGGACGGCCGCCCAGACACACGTACTGTACACACGAGCGGGTGGCGGGGCCGAGACACGCCCGCCGCGCGGCCCCCGCTCGCCGCCGCCGCCGCCGCCCCCCGGCGCTGCCCGCGTCCCCACCCGCCCGCCTGCCCGCCGAGCTGGTCCAGCCGCTGCGAGCATGCACCCGACGAGCTAGGAGGAAGCCGAGCCCCGCGGGAAGGACCGAGAGCCGGCCGCGCCAGTCGCCCGCCCGCCGCGGGCCCCTCCCCTGTGGGCACCCCCAGCCCCACACCCCCCCACCTTCCTCAGCGGTGGGGGGGTGCGGGCTGCCGAACGGGGGCCCCGCCGCCCCGCAGCCGGGACAGCCCCTCTCCCCGCCCCCGGCGCCCTCCCCGGCCCGGCCGGCCATGGATCTGACCAGTAGCGCGGGCGGCGGCGGCGACCCCCGGCAGATCGAGGAGACCAAGCCGCTGCTGGGGGGCGACGTGCCGGCCCCCGAGGGCACGAAGATGGGCGCCGTGCCGTGTCGCCGGGCCCTTCTGCTGTGCAACGGGATGAGGTACAAACTGCTGCAGGAGGGCGACATCCAGGTCTGTGTCATCCGGCACCCGCGGACCTTTCTCAGCAAGATCCTCACCTCGAAATTCCTGAGGCGCTGGGAGCCGCACCACCTAACGCTGGCCGACAACAGCCTGGCGTCCGCCACGGTGAGTCTCTCCGCGCGGCGCGCTCCTGCACCCCTGCGCCTCTCCTCCGGGCCCGGGAGGCGCCCCCTCCCACCTCTGCACCTGGGGCCCGGGGCCTGCTGCGCGCTGGGGGGCGCCAAGGGGCGCCACGGGCGGGGAGAACCCGGCGCCCGACTCCTGGCCTGGGTTCTGGGCTGGTTTGTGAAAACCGCAGCTCTGCCCAGCCGGCGGCTTGGGGAGATCCTTAGAATTCTGGAGATCTGCCTTCCCCCCGCCCCCAGGCTCAGCATTGGGGGATCTCTTGGGCACAGAGCTTGGGTTTCTTACGGATAGACCCGAGGCTGGGCCCTGATGGTGGTGAGGGTTCCCTTTCTGAAAGCCTGCGGTGGATGGGAAAACAAAGCAACCAAAAAATAAAACAAACAAAAAACCCCAAACCCCAAACCCCCAACAACCTCAAAACCCCCAAACCCAAAGAATTTCCAGAAACCAATTCCTTTCTTTGCTGTACCCGTCTTTTATTCTTCTGCCCGGGGTGGCCGGCAAAACTGGGTTCTTGCTTCCCTTTCTGAAAAATCTCTTTCTCACGTTGGGAGGTTGAAAGTGTAGGGGGAGGGGGCAGGGGTCCTGGACTATCTCCTCCCCACCCAGGGCCGAGGGTCAAGTTCTAGTGTGGAAGCTGGCCTGTGGGGCTCTGGTCTTGCATTGTCTGTGAAGTGTGTGTAGACGTGTGTTCCGTTGCTGGGGGGTTTATTTTGTTATTGTTATTGTTTTTAAATATATGGCTGGGGCTGGGTCAGCTGGGTGAGAGGGAGAGAAGAAGTCATTGATCTGTTTCTGAAATCAAATCTGCAAGGTGGAGAAAGACAGCTGTGGTGGGTCGCAGGGCGGGGGTGGTGAGCAGGAGCCTGACTGAACAGGATGCTTTGTGTTTTGAAACAAGGACAGTTTAAAGCACCAAATCTGCTTGGGCCTGAGCCTTGCTTAGGGGGTTCCTTCTTCTATAGAGAGGTGACAGTTCTTCCCCAGAATGCACACTCCCCCCTGGGGCCACAGTGAGTCTGTTTACTAAGCACATTGGGGGGGTGCAGAATTCACTGCCTGCCTGCACCTGTGCCAAGAAAACCCAGCCAGGAAACAGGGTGTCGCTTACATGGCATGTCACAAACGTGTAGCGTGTGTAGACATTTCCCCGGCATCCATGTTCCCTTGGCAGCGTGTCACAGGCCGTGCGTGACACATGCTCCAAGGAATGGGGAGGGGGAAAAGTTAGAAGAAACCGCACTCCTCGAAACAGCTTCCCCCCTTCCTGAGAGCATTGAAGCACTGGAGGACTTTTATTCTGAATTTTGGGTCCGACGTGCTGAGAACACCTATTTTTTCTTTCCTGTGGGCACGTTGGTGCAATGTCTGCAAAGGGTGCTTTCTCAGGAAGGATCACCGGTTCTTGAGAAGCAGCCCAGGCCCAGTTTCAGGCTCGTGCATGTTTTTAAACCCATTGCAAGCCACAGGCCTCCTCAGTGTTTGGCTTTTCATTTGATGGAGGGAGAGCCTCAGAAAATTTGCCCTCACGAGGGATTTCAGATTCAGGGAGGAACTAGTGTCCTTATAGTTCCCTGCCTGGGGCCTGGAGCTCCCAAATCTGGCTTCAGAATTGTCCCCTGGCTCCGAGGGGCTTTATTTTTTTTCTGCTAGCCCTCAAAATGATGGGGAGCTGGGGGGAAGAAAAGGGTTGAGAGGCAGGTGGATGGGAAAACAGTGATCCTCTGTGGGAAGAACAGGCCAGGCTCTCCTGCACTCTCCTGGTAGAAGCCAGGAGTTCCTCTTCTGCTGCTGCTGGTCACGGTCAGGGGGAAGCCAGCTTTGGAGGCTCAAGTCCCCAGACTTACCTCTGATTGCTCAAGATGTAAGTGAGTGTGAGAGAGAGAGAGAGAGATGGAGACACACACACACACAGATAGAGAGACAGAGAGAGAGAGAGAGACAGAGAGAGAGAGAGAGACAGAGAGAGAGAGAAGGAGGAAAGGCTGAAGCCAGGCACTGGTTTCTTAAGCAGCCAGAGGCCCTGGCTCCACCTTTGCCAGACAAGGTGGGTGGCACTTCCATAGCTTGGGCCTTTCTGGAGAGGAGCTGTGATTTTCAGGACTAGGGACTGAGGGCTATCCATGGAACAAGATTTGTCTCAGCAGAGCCTTGCTCTGGCGTTGGGAAATACGGAATGAGGAACTCTGAGCAAGTGTCCAATGACCTGGCATAATTCCTCTTCCTCTGTCTGCTGTCACCCAGCCCCTCGGGCAGGGCAGGGGGGTGTCCTTAAATCTCCCCGTCTTGGGCTCCAGTGGGGTGCATGGCTCTCCCTGCCAGGGCCTGTGAGCACGGAGGGGGACTTAGAGAACGGTCTTGATCAAAGCCACTGCCTCCAGGGTAGAGGTGGGGTTGGGACTGCTACTGGGGACCTCCTCTCATCCCTCCTCTCATCGGGAGACACCTGGTTGGTGTCTAAGCCCTAGGAAACAAAGCACCCTGAGGGGTTTTTCTGAGGTCTGGGGGTTATGTAATGTGTCTGCATTTTATAGTGTGGCCCAAGTACTCTATTGAGAAATATTAGCCCAAATGAAACAAAGGTGAATTTGAGTGCAGTTCACTGTAACAACAAACCCTGTCGGCCTGTGGCTTTGCAGAGTTCCCTGGCCCAGCCTCAAGCTGCTGATGTATCAAGTATGTTTCATATCCTCTCATGAAATGTGTATTATCTGTACATTAAGCCGTCTCTGTAGCCCAGCTCAGAACCATTTGGTAATTATGTGGTTAATTATGTAGGCTTCAGGAGCAAGAGTCAGAGTGATTGATCTGGATTCAAACGAATAAACAAACCAAATACACTCTTTGCCCAAACTGTCTTTGGCGTCTGTCTACACTGATCCAATTAGCTGAATTGTTGTCAGAGATGAAGACCAGGCTTCCAGGACCACAGCTGTCTCCAGCAGGGGTGGAAGCACATGGGGCTCCCAGGCCCACCTGGGTGGCACTTCCAGGTGGCTGTACCCTTCAGGTGGACCTCTCCCGAGTCCCTGCTGGGGAGATGGCCTCCGCCTGGGGCCCCAGGGACTGGCAGCCTCACCCCCGGCCTTGCTATAAACTTTGCTTCCGTGGGGTCAGGTTGGAGCTTGCCTGTCTCCTGGGCCAGTTACTGATTAAATCCTTGCAGAGCCCACAGTGCCTGACGTGGCCTGTGACAGCGCCGGGCCTGATGCACTCTGTGCTTGAGACTTTGGATCCGGAAAGCTCATAAACAAAGAAGGAAACACAAAGGCGACAGTGACCTGGCTGACGTGTGAGGGGTGGTTGGGAGGTGTCCGCCTCTTTCCTGGGGTGTACATGACCACACCTTGTCGGGGAAGGGCCGGCCTGCCCAGGCTGCGGCTGGGCCTGGCACTGCACTCCCCTTTTGCATCCAGACTTCCCAGTCCCTGTGTCTCCCTGGGCTTTCGTGGTGGCGGGCGTCGCTGACGGCAGGCATCCTGCATAAGCAGCCAGGTCCAGTGAGACCAGAGTCCATTTTGCTGCTGTGCATTTGGCTCGAATTTGATCACCTGCTAGACACGTTTGTCCACTGGAAGGGGGTTTTGTCCGTGTGCTTTGTGTCCTCTGCACCGGGGAAGTGCACACAAGCCGCTTACATTTTATTTCACCTGGTTTTGTGCACGCCTCACACAGCATGTGTGATCCGGCCGGAAAAGTCTTCTATTCGTTGACCCGCCAGGGGCTGGAGCGCAGGTGATGGTGGTGTTCTTTATTCTCAAGCCTTAATTCACCAGCGACTTGTTTTTAACTTTTCACCACTCTGCTGCTCCGACCGAAATGTTTCTGGTCTTCGAGTCACAGAGAGGGACAGAGAAGTCACCTTAATTCTCGTCAGGCTTCTTTAGTTTGGTGTTTTCTTGAGGAGAGCAGCCGTCTTCTGAACTTGCACTTGTGCTTAGTGAGCATCTAGGTGTCAGGTGCTCAGCAGAGAGCTCATCCCCATGGCGTGTTTCCACGTGAGGATCACAGTTTGTGTTTGTCCCATGGGAGTGTGTCTGCACGTGTGTGCATGTGTGCTCAGTTTTGCACTTTGTGTCGTGTGCTGCTTCTGGCCTTGGATTGATATGATGCTTATTGTGGCATTAGTACACACAACGGATTTTTTTCTCTTAATACCATTTATCATATGAAGATTTTCGAATGTATCAAAGTTGTTTCCCAGATAACTTGTCTGATCAGAGGTTGTGGAGGGGAGGAGCAGCGACAAGAGAGGAGGAAGAAAATCTAACTTCTCCGTAAACAGCAAATGTGGTCTGCCTTCCCCAGGTTGTGGTAAATAAGTACGTTTTAAGGATGGAGTATGTTTTGATGCTGCCATTCATTCGTCTGGTGCAATCTGAGATGCCCTTTCTGGCCACGGGCAAAATTGTGCCAGTCCAGGTGGAAGGGGTTTCGCTGTTTGTGGCCGGGCTTTGCTGCCGAGCTGGCGATGGAGCTGGGTGAGGTGGATGTGTGCCTCCGGCTCGGGCCCCATGGCCCGCAGGTGGCTTCTGCACAGGGCCCGCTGACTCACCTGACGTGGAGAGAAGGAGGGCATTTTGGGGGTACCGTGTATGGCAAGGCTAGGGAGAGCCTGATGGCCGCGTCACCAAAGCTGCCGTGGGTGCCTCGCTGCCAGCCTTGGGGGAGCAGGGCAGCCTCTTTCCAGGCCAGCCAAGCTTGGCCTGTGCGGATGGTGTTTTGGCAGAATGGACCTTTGAGATGGCTCAGTTATGCCTTTGATTAAGGGATTCACTGAGATTAAGCAAGGCAACCTAGTGGTTTAGGGTGCCCCCACCGTGGGGCAGAACAAACTCGGTCTCTTGGCTCTGGGTCTGGATGCAGAGGTTATGACCTGCCAGCTGTGTGACTTTTGGCGTGTGCTTTCCCTTGCCGGACTTTCTCTCCTTCTGCAGGTGGGGCAATCCTACCTCACTGACGGGACTGCTGTGAGGATT